AAGATTTAATAAGAAAAAAATTATTAATTTGTTTAGAAAAAATAAAAGAAATTGATTTATCCAAAAAAAAAAAAAAAAATTCGGTTCTTATTCGGTTCTTCGGTTCTTGGTCGAGAACCGAGAACCGAACCAAACCATTCGGTTCTCGATTCGAATACTCGTTCGGGTATTTCATTTTAAAAAACCCGATCGGTTCGGTTCGGTTCGGACATTTTGCTCAGCCCTAGTCTTGTGTGGTGGACCTGTAGAAGAGTCAAATTCTCAGCTGTTTCACGAGTTGCAAAATTCAATCCAATCTGTGTGCGATATACTGCAGATGGTTGCATAATGGTTAAGCAAACAAATTGATCAACCGGATGACGAGAAATTTGAAGCCATGTTTTTCCTCGATTCGTAGAGATGGAAGTAGTGAAGGGCCCAGGAAGGTCTTCCAAATACTTGAGTCTTCTATATCAATGATGAAAGATTTTGAACTGGGCGAGAGGATTTCTGAAGCATTGCAATCGTGGAGTCCTGCTGATATTACAAGGAGGATCATTAATGGACAGACTTCCTTAATGTCGGAGTTTCTGAGGATATGTAAATTGAAAGTTAAATCATTTGAAGCACTTAAACTTCAATTTAGCTCATAATTACACTAGGGCTATGTTGAATGAGTTGAGGAGGCACTGCAGGATGATGGCTGTTTTACGGTTCTTTTCAGCAATGGTGCAGTTTTGGTAGTTTTTATTGAGTGTTGGCTTCTACCTATCAGTGTACATTAAATTAACATGATTCTTTGAGAATAACTTGTATTTCACTTGTTAGACTTTGGGTGTGATCCAAATTCTTTGTTGAAAATAATTGAGAGTTCTAATTATAAGAAGAATTCTATTTGGAATGCTATTGTTGAATTCTATTCAAGTTTACTTGGCAAATTCTAATTGAAATTCTATTTGAAAGTCCATTGGGAGTGGGACTTTGTGTTGGACTTGAAGAGGACTTTGGAATAAAGAAAAACACATTTGGAAGGTTTTTGGGCCGGAGGCGAGGCGCCGGCAGCTGTACACTAAAACAGCGAAGCCTGTGTTGGCAGTGGTGCTGCAGCACCACATGGCGCCAAAAGAGTGGCGCCGCAACACTAGTTGTGCTGTTTGTCTTCTTTTCCATTTTGGACTCCATATTTGGCATTCTATTTCAACTACAACTCTACTATAAAGGTTTGGACGTCCCCTATTTGTTCCCTATATATAATTGGCTCTTCATTATGAGTTAGGAAGAAGTCAGAAACATTGTAAACACATAATATTTGTATTCTTTTTCCATATTATGATAAAATTTCCATTCTTTGCAAAATTACATTCTTCTTGTGCTCTTATGATCAATTACTTCATATTGTGGCTTAATATCTTATTTTCTCCAACAAAGTGGTATTGGATTAATCCGGTGCTATCTCTGCTTTTCACAACGTCACTAGTGTTTTCTAATCAGCCTTTTTCAACATCAATTTGAGATGCACTATTGGATTTATTGTTGTAAATCGAAGTACTTTTTCCCCTGAAAACATAAGTGTTTGGAAAATTGTGAAATCTATATCACTGTCTATGCTTTGAGATCATATCAGTAGCCTCCCTGCCACTCGGTGCAGCAAAGGACGTCCCAAAAGATCATTAGTTGGACTGAGATCATTGATAGTATATATCAATTTCAGCAAGTCTGAATTGATAGATTCTTTTAAAATAAGGGTTGCTCAAAATCGAGAAGGCAAATACCTTCTTTTTAGGATGGAAAAAGAGAAATTACATAGTACATAACCAGAGACTCCAAATCTATCTTTCAATGAGTCGTCACAGTTTACTTTGTCAACGATCTTTTCAAAATTCCCAAATTACTAGGTTCTAGAGGTCGTTAATAGGTAGGCACTCTCGTGTTTAACGCACTTTACTTGTGTACATGATTGGACATGACAACGGAAGTGCTGTCCAGTTGAACATGTTAAACGTCCTATAAATGAGCTTTGTTAACGTCTGATTTTTTCTTTAAAAAGAAGTTTAACTGCAAATATTGATGCATTTACATATTATAAATCCGTAACATGTTTTGTGCTGGACACATAGTTAAGTTGCAGGCAGCCTAACTCTGTCTGAAATGTACCCCCAAATGATTTTGTAATATATTAAAATGCGAGAAGCAAACATCAAATATTACTCATTTTTAAATTGATTGTACAGATTCGTGCCTTGATTGAAGCTAACTAATCACTTTATAATCATCACCTACTGTGAAAATGAAGTTGCGTAAGGCATTTTTTCCAACTTTGAATTCATTTACTAATAATTAATGCTCCAAATTTGCCACAATCTTATTTACTATAAAATATTGCAAGTTTTTTTAAGACTTGACTTTAAGCTTCATCCACAGGTGTTAAATGCCAATTTACATTTTACATTGTCAATTATAGGTTATAATTATAATGATTAGTTATGGTCGGTTTCAAACCTCCATAAAGAAAAAAGGTTAAAAAATAGGTAGACAATCAGTATAAGATTACGTGACGTGTAGGGACTCTTACTAGCATTGCTACATAAGATGTTGCGTCAAAACAGATTGATTGACGTTGAAATATTCACTTAATCGATCCCAATTGCATTAACAATAAAAACAATTAGGGTATAATTGATTGTGAGCATAGAATTTGCATGGAAAGAAAATAATTGCTTAGAACTTATTTGTATGAAAATTATTAATTAAATGTGTTTGATTGATTTAGTTTTCAACCTAGAAAATATTAGACATGTCCATTTTTTTTTATGGGTAGATGAGAGAGAGGGGATGGATAAGAGAGAGAGAGTGAGTCGATTACCTGAAAAATAAAAATCACATCTTCCTAAAGAAAATATTTTCTTTGTTTTCAAGTAAAATATGGTCATATGACCAAACGTAAGAAAATAATTTCCTTTGAAAAAATAAATTGTCAATCAAGCAGTATAATATGGAAAAAAACACATTTTTCATGAAAAATATTGACAATCGAATGCACCATTAGTTTGATATCCAAAAAAGTTCCTTCGATTAGACTTTTTGCATTAAATTCATTATTGACAGGTATGAATGTGGAACCATTCTAGATTCCATGACTTCAGTTTTGAACTTTGCAAAATTTAGGGTAAGTCAAACAAATAGAAAGCTGTTAAAGTATTTCCTAATCCACCTAAACTTGACCCAAAAAAATGTTTCAGTTTCAATCCCAATTCCATCTGTCCCTCTCTTTCAAATCATAAAGATAAAAAAACTCAGACAAACTGACTTCACTACCAAAGAAAGTGAGTCCATTTTATTACTTTCTGCTCTCCCATGCTGATATCACTTTCACATAACATATATATACTAATTCTAGGTTGCAGTTACCAGATGCTGGCAGCTGATTGGTTCATGTTTTGATTGTTTGGCTAACTAATTCGAAGGACTTTGTCTGAAAATAATCTCTGTTCATATTAAAGGATTACGACACTCAATATCTTCAGGACATTTGTCAACTTATAGTTGCACAAAGTAGTTCGAAACCAGTAAGTAAAAGTTTGTGACCGGTGGAACAAATTAAAGAGGAGAGGTAGATCAAAACTACCACGACGTGTTATTGATCCATGCAGCTGATTTAAATTTACTGAGAACAACCGTTGGTTGTCGTTGTTGGCATATACGTACACGTAATATGTTTGAACAAAGAATTTGTCCGACTTCTTTCTTTTTAATCATGTCCAATTCTTCCGATAATATCCAACATGACTTACATGTACTACATGTTTGTCAAAGCTTTTTACTAGTAACAGTAAAACGATAATTATGAATATGTGACACAATCTTATTAGGCAAAATAATGTCTTTAACATTACACTAGAGTGCTTCTATTTTCCGAGAAAATTACCTACTGTAAGGAAGAGCCATTTGGGCACTGATTGAAACTTAAAATTTCGAAAGTGGCAAACAGTGCGGCAAAAAATGATTCATGTAGCCAACCAATTTGAGAAGAAAGCTAGTTTAACGACATTGTTCTGAAGGGACAAGAAAATAATGCATAAAACAAGAAAAAAAGGCCCTCTTTCTCCCTCCTAGTTAAGGAAACCTTATGTTTGAATATACTATACAAGAACATCTAAGTATTGTTGTTTAACGAAATTCTAGGACAATCAGGACCTAGAGGTGATCTTTCCTCAAAATCTAAACAAAAAGAATCTAGATTAGTTTAACATTGATAGAATTAGTGGATGTACCAAATCCTGTGTGATTGGACTAATTTCCCAAAGATTTTAATGCCCTTGTAAGATTTTTATTTTCTTCTTTTTCCATAATACTTTCCACTTCACCTAACAAATTGTACAATATCTGACTCTCACTATTTTTATTTTTATTTTTAAATTAAACTACAGATTTTTTCCCTCCGCAAATTTGTATAAATAGGTATCCCATCATACTGCTCAATCCAAGCATTATGATTTTGAAGTTTCACTAAACAAAAGCAGAAAAAGAAGCAAAATGGATGCTAATAACTTTGGCTGCCGCATCAGACAATTGTTCCAGATTCTTTTAGCTGTTCTCATACTCAGTTTTATGGCGTCTTTAGCAGATGCAGAAACTTGTTACCATGAATTTGATGTACGTATTTCATAACATCTTCTTTGAACTTATTTTCTCTTAGGTTCTTTACAACTTATTCATGTATGAACATAATGTCTGAATGTCACAGGTTCAAGAAACACCAGTGTGGAGGCTGTGCAGAACCCACAACATAATCACAGTTAATGGGCAATTTCCAGGGCCAACTCTTGCAGTAAGAAATGGAGATACACTCGTCATCAAAGTTACAAATAGAGCTCGTTACAATGTCACTCTCCACTGGTAATAGAATATGTAAATCTCGTGTGTATGTATATAAACATGCAGACATTGGCATATTATACCAGAGTAGATATTGGACAATATTAAAATAGAAAAAGATGTTAACTGTCTCGTACAGTATTTTCAAGTACAACTTATCAAACATGTCATTAATGCTCTCTAAATGGTTTCTTTTAGGTTCTAAGTTCACCAAGATCCTAACACATGTTATTATTGATAATATCATTTGGTTCAATGTAACTGAGTTTCAATTTTCATAAGGCATGGAATTCGTCAGATGCGAACACCATGGGCCGATGGTCCCGAGTATGTCACCCAATGTCCAATTAAACCCGGAGCAACTTATACTTATCGATTCACAATCGAAAATCAGGAAGGTACACTGTGGTGGCATGCTCACAGCAGATGGCTTAGAGCCACAGTCTATGGAGCACTTGTTATCTTTCCGAAATCTGGCTCCTCATATCCATTTCCAAAACCCAATTTTGAAGTCCCTATTATTCTTGGTAATTAACCATTTTTAGCCTCTCTTTACTTTCCTTTGATTTTAATAGCCTATTTTTGAGTTATGTATGTTTATGCACATATAAATGTAAACAATGAACGCAGGTGAATGGTGGGACAGAAACATTTTTGATGTCATGAGACAGGCACTTTTTACTGGAGCAGCTCCAAATGTTTCAGATGCATACACTATTAATGGTCAGCCTGGTGACCTATACAGATGCTCCAGCAAAGGTCTAATACCCATCTAGAATATTAGAATTTCTTAACCAAGAAACTGTTAACCTGATTATAATTAAATAAAAAATTGTGGCTTTGAAAATCAACTGGCCAGAAATGAATGACTGTAAAAAAATAATAGCTGTTTTTATGTTCCAATGCAGATACAACGAAAATCTCAGTGAAATCCGGGGATACAGTTCTCCTAAGAGTTATCAACGCTGCACTCAATCAACAACTCTTTTTCTCTGTCGCCAACCATAAACTGACCGTTGTTGAAGCCGATGCAGCCTATCACAAACCATTTACCACAAGGGTCATCATGGTTGGACCCGGACAGACGACTAATGTCCTACTCACGGCTGACCAGCCACCAGCACGATATTATATGGCTGCAAGTGCTTATGCTACAGCACAGAATGCACCATTTGACAACACAACCACCACTGCTGTCCTCGAGTACCAAAATGTCCGAAGTGGATCGTCCTCGAGGCCAGTGTTACCTCAACTCCCGGCCTTCAATGACACTGCCACTGTGACTGCATTTACAAGTCAATTGAGGAGTATTCTTGCTTCGAATGTCAAAGTCCCTACTCAGATCGACGAGGACTTGTTTTTCATTGTAGGATTAGGATTAATCAATTGCGCACCTGGACCTAGATGTCAAGGACCAAATAATACTCGCTTTGCTGCGAGTATGAACAACGTGTCGTTTGTGCTTCCAAGAAGGACCTCCTTACTGCAGGCCGCTTACCAGAATATACCAGGAGTTTTTACCACAGATTTTCCTCCCGTTCCACCCGTGAAATTTGATTACACAGGCAATGTGAGCCGTGCATTGTGGCAACCAACTTCTGGGACTAAGCTCTACAAGTTAAAGTTTGGTTCAAATGTACAAATTGTGTTGCAAGATACAGCCATTGTCACAACAGAGGACCATCCTATTCATCTTCATGGGTACCATTTCTTCGTAGTGGGACAAGGATTTGGAAATTTCAATCCCCAAACAGATACTTCTAAATTCAACCTCGTTGACCCACCAGTCAGAAATACAATAGATGTGCCTGTTGGTGGATGGGCAGTCATACGTTTCGTGGCTGATAATCCAGGTGAGATACAGAATATATTTTCCCCAGTATATTAGAAAATCCTCTGATATTATAGCTAAATTAAAACGCTGATTATAACCTTTTAAACTCATCTGGAACAGGAGTATGGCTGTTGCATTGTCACATAGATTCCCATCTCACCTGGGGTCTGGCTATGTCATTCTTGGTCGAAAATGGAAAAGGGAAATTACAATCCATCGAGCCGCCTCCTGCTGATCTGCCTACCTGCTGAGAATGATCATGACAAAACAGCTAACTACTAAAATTTGTTTAAGAGTCTTCAGTTCTAATGTTTTGTTTGATCGTATTTGTTCTTTTATTGTTATGTCTCTTATTTAGGGTAACCGATCCCCGTTTATTAAGAATAAGCATTAGTTTGTTGTTACTTTTGTCATACTCGGTAGTTGTCTTGGCTCAACTAAGTACACTCACGTGTTCTTATTCTCAAGTGGTAATGAACATTGTAATTTTTCTTTTGTTCCCTCCATTGCTCTAAGCTATTCGCAACACTAGCACGTCTCGAGAAATTATGTAATCATCATTGTACAAGTCCTATAATGCTCAAGTCACACAACAAAATGACGTAAAAAAAAAAAATCATGATCCATGAAACAAATTCTAGCTTCAAAACATGTCATGATATACCCTTCCCACCACTCTTCGATACCATAATGGCTATAGTCAAACATCTTCTAGAGATGAAACGAATCGATAGTCTCATTATTTACCCATTCCATCTTGCATTGACAGAACCAAGTCCGAGAACACGCAAACAATGTTTCTTAATTGTTTGATTTCATAAAAAATCATAGTTTAATTTTTAAGAATGAAGCCTGGAAGAAAAAATTGAAGAGTTTTTTAAATGGATAAATTTTAGGTACAAAGTAATGTACAACAAATGGCTGAATGGATTGAAGAAGAATTGGATCGAAAAGGAAAATTGGCTAAAGTGCAAGTGTGACAGTCGAGCTCCGATTTGGGCTCATAATACCATTTTGGAAAAAGAACGAACGACCGAGACGTGTAGAACTCGCTTCATTATGACATACGATGGATTTCGGTCATCCAAGTTCGTTTAGGACTCGTGTTATGCTGAATGTGAGATCACCAAGGCAATTTTCGAGCTCAGCAAACACCCATTCAATCAACACCACTATGAAGAACTGACCCAAAACTTTCAAAGAATCCCTACATCGGTTGCTTTCAGTTTGCCCACAAAGAACATAGGATGGTAGTGTGTTTAGTGGCCACAAATGCTGAGAACGAGGAGAAAAGTGAAAGGCTCTAAATCACAGAGAAGGCAGCCGTTGTTTTCTCTCGAATGAAGAAGCATATACACACTCACACACACGGTAGAAGCAATAAGGAAGCAGTATCATTAGGAATAATAATGGGCCAAGCCCAATTCACGCAAGTGGGTTAAATATAGCACTAAGTGGGTCATCACCTAAAAGCCGTCCAAGAGATAAAGAAGTGGACCATGAGCAACACTAAATAAAGGGAAAAATTTATAAATAAGG